TGTGGGCTGAGCAAAGTTAACACTGGAGATGGTTGGTCCCCCCACCCAAACAAGGGAGTGCACCCATGAGAGGTTTGTGAGTCCTTCCTGCCATCGGTTTTCCTGCTCCTTGGTTTGTCTGCCTGGCCACGCCTGCCTTCACCTCTGCTCCTCCTAGTGCAGCATACTAGTTCTGAGCTTACTCTGACTGCCTGGCATTCCTAATGTCCAGTCCCACCCTTTCCCTGAAGGTGTATCACCCCTGCTAGGTATAGTAGACTCTCAGTCCCGGTCACAGTCTCCTAGTGGGAACTGTGTTCCCTCCAGAAAACAGAGGCCAAATTAATGGGCATCCCGTGCAGCCAAAGCTTCAGAGAGCAGCAGCAGTGGAGAATCCAGCAAGGAGGAGGAGAAGGAGGACAAAAAGGCTCCCCAGAAAGCCCCAAGCCAAGAGCAACACGCCTGATTCTAGCTTAAGCTCAGAGGATGAGGTGCCAAAGAACAAGAAGCCAGACAGCATCCTGTGGCAGTGAAAGCTCAGGCAAAGGCCCCAGCCAAACCAGGCTAGTCAAGAAGACTGGACCTGGAAGCAAGTCATGGGCCAAGTCCCAGGGAAAGCCGCTGTTGTCCTGCACCGAAGAGCTCCAGCAGTGCAGACTGCCCCAGTGAGGAGGAGAGAAAAACCCCAAAGAAAGCACCAGGTCCCTGCAGTTCAGTCCCCCGCCTCCTGCCCTGCCACTGAAGACGTCCCTGGGAACCCAGTCCCCCAGGAAGCGGAGATGGAAGCAGAGTCTGTGGAAAGCAGTGTGGACAGTAGCGATGGGTCTGAGTCAAGCTCTGGGGAAGAGAAGACACCCCGCTAAGGCAGCCATCCCCAGAGCAAGCACAAGACCAGACGCAGCAAAGGCGGCAGAAGCACTTCAGGGAGCTCCGCCCTGAGGATGAAGCTCCAGCCCAGGCAGCACCACCAAGAATTCCACCCCGAGCCACCCAAGCCCTGAGCAGCCTGCAGGCAGCAGCCTGAAGCCTGGCCAGAAAGACTGATAGTAGCTCCAGTGAGGAGAACAAGACAAAGAAGACCAGGCCGGGCACCCCGCACTGGCTGCCCAGAATGGTAATGCAGGCAGGGACAGTAAGGACGAGGACGGAGGGCAGATCCAGGCAGGAGTGGCGGTTTCCAAGCCGGGGTCAGCAAAGAAACAGAAGCAGATGAGGTGGCCAAGGAGGCAGATTCCTGGAGCAAAGACTAAGCTCCAGACTCCCAACACATTTATAAAAAGGAAGAAAAGAGAGCAAAGGACCTTCCCCATTCTGAAGGCACAGAGAGGAGGAGACTGGGTGCCAAGCAAGGGTCCCCTGGAGAGGGGGAGCGAGCTGGTCAGGTTCTGAAGTTCAACAAAGGCAAGTCCCTCCCATCCAAGAAAACCAGGAAGAAATGGGCAGCTGCAGGGAGGCACTGTCACTGCCCTTGTTAACTTTGTCAAGGTTGTCAAAGCAGGGGTGGTGACTGGAAGCCACCGCCTTCTCAGTTGACCAGGACCACCCAGCTCTGTTGGGGAGGGCTTGGCAAAGGCAAAAGTTTAGAGTAGGTCCTAGGACTTGGCAACACAGTGTCCTCTCTTATCCTCTACTGTTTTACTAATTTTGTAGATTTTTGAGTGTTCAGTATCAGGAACAAGGTAAGAAGAATGCTTTT